CAAAATACATTTTTCCCCACATATTTACTTTTTTATTGAACTTGTTAATGTTATAGAGTTCTTGCACTGCCAAACTATGCCAAGTGATTCAAGAGAAATGGTACGATGGACAGTCTTATCCACCCATCATACAGTATATATTAAAACTTGCTACATAGGTATTTTAACAATTTCACAATCTTTAAAAAATTAAGAGTTGGAATTTAAATATGCTGCAGGCCTTTAGATTTCCAATACAGTATGCCACTAAATAAAACCTCCTCATATTCATCTTAGTTTCCTTTCTCAATAACATAACTCCCAACAAAATTTTGTGGGATTAAATGTATACTTTTCCAGGATAATACATGGTTAACTGTTAACATTTCTGGTTTCCAAATGAAGTCCTCAGCTTAACCAAGATTCTCTTATTTCTTATTTAATCATCTAACCTCCTGCTGGCTGACTCAGCTTTTCACCCAAATACTCAGTAGCAGGCATCCAACCTCTATCTCAAAGAATGCTGATATCATTACCCAGAAGTGGCTGGCAAATCCTGTCAGGAGATCATGTAGCCCTCCTAGGAGTTTAGTTTCTATACTGACTCATCAAGACTGAACTTCTATAGGAAAATGCTCCCTCACCAGGACAGTTTTACTTACCCATTTGCTTCACTCTGGCAGTTGCAGGTTGCATTTTGCAAAGGTATTTACTATAGAGAAACCCAGACCCTGCATCAAGAGGTTACATACCACTAAGAAATATTTCTACTCAACCCAAGATACAAAACTAGGAAACTGCCAGACTACCTCATTAGGTGGAAAGAAACTTTTCAGTAATCCTAGGTGCTTCCTTTAGTCCTTTTAAGGACTAAGTATTACTACTAGGGACCATAAATAAAATCAGAGACATATTTGTAATAAAAGAAGAGGGGAAAGAGGAATAGCCACAGGTAAATGTGGGGTTAAAAAGTCTTGTTTTTAAAATGGGGATGTAACAACATGCTATTTGCTGCTGTGATACTATGATATATACATATATATTTTTTGGCTTTTGTTCTGGCTCATAACTTCCACAGCTCTTGTTGTTTCCAAAATGATGAGAACAATAAAGTTAAAGTACCTGGCTTTTTGTCCTTGGCTCTTGAAGCAGCTCTGGAATAGCTTCAGAGTCATAAAGGTGAAAGACAGTCTTTTGCTATAATGTCAAGGTACTTTAGGCCTCAGAAACAAATCTCTTTCTCTTTGATCTTTTTCTGCCCTTCTTTCACCTGTGGTAGAAACTAGAATTTCTCTTCCTCAAGGTGGGTCACAGAAACTAAAACTATGCCCTAACTCTGTCCCATGCCTTTGTCTTAGAGCTTGCCATAAAGCATCTCTCTGATTTGCCTTGTCAGAAAATGACCCCATTTCAGAAAAGGTCTTGCTTCATGTTTCATCCCTGGGAGGAAGGAATGCTGCAAAGAGAGGCCAGGGAGACTGTGAAGATAGGCCTCAGTGGGTTCTCCACTCTGTCAGCATCAGATCATACTCTTTATTCAATTCCATGTCTACATAGTTGACCATACTTCAAAAATGACTAAGCAATGATGTCTCCACAAAACTCCCCAAGGACAGGGTTTGGAGAGCTTCTGGAGGGCAGAGCACATGAAGGCTTACAAGAAGGTAAACGAGAACTTGCCCGAGTGCTCTGGAAGGGTGGTACACTCCACCTCTACGGGGACAGGACAGGTCTCCCAGACCTTGCCTTATGTATGTCTTCATCTGGCTACTTATCCATATCATTTAGAATATCCATTATAATAA